ACACCTCACCTTCAAATTGCGTGTTACTATATCTAGAGTGCTTAAACAATGAGCGGAAAAGCTTGAGGTTCCAGTGGTGTTCCTTTTTCCCATAAGAAGGTGAAATCTAGTGGATGTTTAGCACTCTGATATTATTATGCTTCTGAGCATCACTTGACAGCAACAGGGAATTATGACATTTGTGTAGTTCCCAGCTGGTGCATTAACTTTCACAAACAAGCGATAAACGTTTGAACGACTATTATATTTCTTTGGTAGATCTACTGTATTCTAGGGTGAGAATGAAGATGTTCAGGCGAGAATATTATAATTAACTGCATCTAACATATTTGGCAAAGCTTGAATCTATTTTAGAAATAAAGTTCACAAAAGATAAGGCCCTCTTTGGTACACATTATTTTTTTTATTCTCATTCTTCTACTCATCTTCAACTACACATTCTTCAATAAAATAATATTTTCCATCACATCAATAACTTTTCCTTTATTTTTAACAACACATTATCTATCAATCTATTATTAAATAATACATTCTTTCAAAAGAATGTATCCCAAACACACTCTAAAAAATAAAAATCAATAAGATTGTATAACGTTCAAAAGAAACATTGACGCTTGAATTTGTAATATTGCAAAATTGTCCACTCGAGCAATGTCTATTTTTGCTCTTTCATCTTCGTAAGTATATGCTCCTATTAATATTCGCAAACGGCATAACAGTAAAAGTTACGAGTTCGACCCTAAAATCACGTAGAGGGGGATGAATGGGTGAATAACACTAAATTCAAATTATCAATTTAACGTAACAAGTCACATTTTAAATGTTCTAGATGTTTAGTCGCTAATCAAGTCAATTTAATCATACGTTGAATTATCATAATAGTAAATAAAGCAGCAAATAATATGATGAATGAGGGTTTGAGTCTGATGCTAAGTTGTCAGATAAGACGTTAATGACTCTAAACTATCACGAGTTGGCTAATCGGCGTAAGGATAACAAGTGATCGCGTAACTTTGGTAATTGAGTCGTGTTTCGATAAATTGGCCACAACTTTGGTTACAGTTATCAGAATCGCGATTATGACCATAATCGCGTAAGGATAACAAGTCAAATGAACACAAATTTAAAAAAATTTCGGGTGAAAAATTATACCAACTTAATTAACAATTCCCTGGGTAACAATTTCTAGACAATTACTTTCTCTAGAATTCATTTTCTTTTTACCAATTTTCCACACTTGCAATCAAACGGACCCTAAACAGTGCAAGATATTTATTTACAGGGGTCTTACAGACCCCCTCACAAGGGGCGGGTCCCCACATGTATTAAAAAAAAAAATTTGCGCCGATTTCACTGTGTGTTATCTGTAAACCTTCTGTAAAATAAATTCTGTAATGCAAGCGTGGTTATTTGAAAATCGGTGAAAGAATGAATCGGCTTGATATATTACCTAAAATAACCATAATTACAAACATAATTTCACAAATACCCTTGTCAGCTTCGGGTTCCCAATTAATTAAACAAAATTTCAGCAGCACAGGTTCCCCATTCCCCTCATTTAAGAACCCTAGCAAAATCTCTCTCTCGATCGGTCAACATCAATTCGCCTCTATATATCCTCCCCGTAATTCTCCGATTTCCGATTGAAAATGATGATCGCTGGGGCTTTGTAATTAATTAAAATACCCAAGATTTATCATTTCTGATTATATTATAATTATAATTATTTAATTGATAGTTAGAGCTTTTCTTCTGGGCCTGTAAGAATCAGATCGTCGATTGAGTTCGGAGTTGGGTTTTCCCCCTTGTTTTGTTGAGTTGACCAAGGCAGGTAAAAATCCAATCTTTCTTCGACTTTTTAACTGTTGTTGATGTGCTTGTACTTTTTGGCTTTGCTATGCGGAATTTTCTTTTTTGCGTGGAGTTTTTTTCAATGAATATCTATTATGTCATCCTCTGAGTGTTGTTGATGCAACTCTCTCTCTCTCTCTCTCTCTCTCTCTCTCTCTCTCTCTCTCATTAAATTTAGCTTAGTATTTGAGCAATTTGCTTCTGCATTCAAATGTTTTTGTTTTGATTGATTGAATTTATAACTTTTTCTTTCTAGACTATGAATTATTAATTATATTTTTTCGTTCTTTCTTGTTGTATAAAATCGTGGTGGGCTAAATGTCAAGGCAGCGGTGGCTTTCAGAAGCAAAAACCTGAGGTCAAGGTGTGCATTGCTTTGGTGCTCTGCTTGGAAATAATTATTATTAAAACGGAGAGTTCGCTATGTGGGCGTTGAATCGCGGTAGGATCAATCTGATCAACTGTTTCTTTCATTTCTCTGAATGGCATCCTCTGGAATAGCATAGCTGATCGGGCCTTTGAAGCCCAGTTGGCAGTTCACCTGACAAAAAAAAGGTTATCACTTACTCGTCTCTGCTTTAATTTTGAAATCTTGAAATATACAAAAAGCCGGTTTTCAAACCTTTCTCCATGATTGGTGGCATGCAATTGGTCTCTATAATTGGAATTGTGCTAAATAACTCGAATTTTAATTGAATCAGTTCCAATTTCATGCTGCCAGATGCGGCCATAATATTTTTTGATTATTGGTTTTGTTGTTGGTTGTTAAACAAAATTGTTCATTTTAATGCATGGTTTTGATTATTGGTTTTTGTTTCTTCAGGTTTTGGATCGATTTTCTTCAAATCTTGGGTCATTTTGCACAAAGGTTTTGGTATTTTAATATTTGTCAAGAGAAATTTGATTGAAAGTATGGCAGAAATGGGCTGCTGTGGGTGTTTTGGTTTCTCATTCTTGAGGAAGCACAAGAAGGCGATGAGGCCCAGCAGGGGTTTGGGTAATCACGCCTCACAGGAGTCCTTGTTGCCTGAGGCGGTGGAAGATGAGGAATGCCCTTTTTATAATGGGGACTATTGTGAATTCCGAAGCCCGATCAAGCGTTCGGAGGAGATTCTCATGTACAGGATGCAGCATGGATTAATTTGCAGGGAATTTCCTGTTAAGGAAACATATAATCTGATTCGCTCGGAGGTAAATTGCAGAATAAATGTTGTTTTATCTTTACATCACTATTACCTGGAAATTTTTTTCTCCTGAGATGTATAACCCCTCAATCAAGGAAAAAAGAGAAAAAATAAAAAATTAACTAGTGAAGTGATCAATCAAATGCTCAAGTACATGTACTCTTTGGAATCCTGTACTTTTTTTGTTCTTATTTGTATACCCTGAACCCTTATCTGGGCGAACACGGGTTGTGGCGTGTTAGATATTGAAAATGTTATGACAACAGGAAAAGTAAAACCATCTGAGTGTAAGTTGCCTGCTAGGGGGGGTGCAACAATCTGAGGGTAAAGTTGGGGTAGCTTTGCAGAATGGGGTTGACCACAAGTGCAATTGTTTAAAAGTTATGCACACTTTTTGAGCTATAAATTCACGTGATTTTGTTTGGAAGAAAGAGATTTGATTTATTTTTGTTATATGGTATTCTACAAGGAGTACCATTGCATTTATTGTTGATTGGTAGTGCTTTACAGCTAGTATTAACACATTCATTTTCAGGATGAGAACGGGCAAAAGATGGTGAATGAGTATGTCCGCGAACGCAAAATTGGTGCTGGTAGCTATGGAAAAGTGGTGAGGACATAGTTTCAATATTATGCCATCTGTCCGTGCTAAATGAATTTCTATCTGTAGTCTTGCTAACTTCCAAAAGTTACAGGTTCTTTACCGAAGCCGTTTAGATGGGAAAGAATATGCAATAAAGGTAGTGTCTTCCACTATTCTTGCTCAACCATTTAGGATTTACTCTGGCAAACATTGGATTTTTGTAGAATCTTTTGTTTCAATAAAAAGTGATCTACGGGCAATGATCTGGCTCAAATATTTTCTATGAAAAATTTGATCAATAAGAAGCCCTGTGATTTTGGGTAGTAATATGTTCAAGTATGTTAACCAGCAGAGCTTTGCTCAACATCTTGTTGAAGGAATTCTGCTCTAAGATCTTATTCAACAGAGTTTTGAACCTGACTTTAAGTTTACAACCATGTCCAAATAGCAAGGCAAATACTGCGTTTTGTAACACTGCCAGTGAAAGGGTGGGCGTTTTGTTCCAGTTTAGGCTGTGACATAGTAGTGGTTTTATTGGTACTCACAAAGATATATTTGGACAACTCCAAAAAATGGTGGCTTCACGTGATAATTTTATATCCTCATTTTTTAACACAGGCATTTCACAAGTCTCATTTATTGAAGTTACGGGTTGCGCCTTCAGAAACAGCAATGACTGATGTTCTTCGTGAGGTATTTGTTTATTTCTGTACTTGTTAGTGAGTGAATTACATCATGCAAACTGTTTTCTCCAATTCCGATGAACGCTATTTTTTCAGGTTTCAATCATGAAAATATTGAACCACCCAAATATAGTTAATCTCATTGAGGTTATTGATGACCCAACAACAGATCACTTCTATATGGGTAATACTTTATTCCCTTCCTTTTCCATCCGTTGCCAATTTTGGCCGTTTGTTTGACTGCACTTCTTTGGTTTAGTTCTTGAATACGTGGCAGGCAAATGGGTCTGTGAAGGTTCTGATCCTCCATGTGGTCTTGAAGAAAGTACCGCAAGGAAATACTTGCGTGATATAGTTGCTGGGTTGATGTATCTTCATACTCATGTACATCACTGAGGCTTCTTTTTCAATTTTACTTGTTAATAGAATCTCCATATAGCTACAGGATTACATTCTTTATCTTTTTCCAACCTGTATGTTGTGTGATCATAAGGTTACTCGTATTTTCCCATAATGTCATCTAATGTTGATAGGGACACATCTCAGAAATAGTTTATGTTAACTTATGTTGACAGTGACATATATCAGAATTAGTTAATTTGTAGGTATATCAGTAAGATCAAGTAGTTCAGATCTGCTGGTGTAGGCCTCTTTGATCAATGCATAGTCGCATTCCTTTCTGTCGTTTTCTGGTGATTTTGTGGATGCCGAGGGATCACACGACATAGGGGCACTGTTCTACTTGAGATTGTTGCAGTAAATGAATTCAAAGTTGTATTGTGTTCCTATGACTCCTGATCTTTTGGCCCTTCGTAAAAAAATTGAAATTTCTAGTGGCACCTGATAAGTGGCTCAGTAATAGATGTGCTTCCATGCATACAAATCGAGACTGTCTTTAATCTCTTAGCTGTTTGATATGGCTAATACTTCTATAGTATGTTATTCGTGTAGCTTAACCTGTATACGCCTTGCTTCCTTTTACATTCTGTTGAACTAATTTCATGCATTGTTTCTGGAATTAAACAGAATATAGTGCATGGAGATATCAAGCCTGATAATCTTTTAGTTACTGGTAATGGCACAGTTAAGATTGGTGATTTCAGCGTTAGCCAGGTTTTTGAGGTAAGAAATTCCTCTCAAGTAAAATTGTTAGTTTCTGAAGTATATGCATTTTTTCATTAATAGAAAAAAGGTTCAAAATGGAAAATTGTTTCTGTTTGCCACTGAAAGTGGGGGAGGTTGAGAAAAACTTAACCTCTAGTTGTTGTATCTGTCTTGCCACTGAGGTGCGCTGGATAAATTTGTGTACTTAGCCTACTGATGAATGGGCTCCAGTAACAAGGAGAATTCGAACAAAAATGAAATTGGCAGCCAAAACCTGGAACTTATTGCTAGTGAACTATTAACAGATTAAGCATCTGAATCTTCAACTAGCTGCAGTGCTAATGTATGAGTTGATCAGTGGAAGTTACTTAAAAATTGTTTGGGCTCTATTAAAATGTCATTTTGGGGAAAATGTATCTTGGAATGGTGATTTTTTTGGAGAATGTGTGGTTAAAAAAGAAGGAAAAATTTTGAGTTTATGTGTAATATTATTTTGTTGAAGGATGTGTGGTTGAAAAGAAGAAAGAGAAAAATGCATTAAAATTAAAATGGAGCCGAAACAGGGGCTAAATGTGAAGCTATTTTAGATTTCTGTAAAACTTTCATGGATTAATCTACAGAATCTTGCACAAATTAACCTCCATCCTTAATTTCTACAGAAGCGAATTTTTTACTCGGTATTGGGAACCTTGTTTATGGCATAATTTGAAGGCAGATTGGGTCCAAAGACAAATTTCTCATTCCTTTTTATTTTTCAAATTGGATGTTACTTCTGTGTAGATCTTATATTACCATTTGTTGATACCAGGAACTACAAAGTAGACTATATCAGGAACAATACAAGGAAAACATATCAACTAGTACGCATTGAATAAATTTCTAGAACAGGCCTAAATTTTTGTAGTTAGAATGTTTTTGTGCAGGGATTAATGTAAATCTTTGGCGCTGGACCATTTTTATTGAAACAATGTGTAGTATATAAAGCCCGTTAATAAATTCTTTGCTAACTATTTGTCAAATACGAAAAAGAAAAAAAAAATTATTGATTTCATTTTTGACTCACTGTAGACTTGCTATTCTGCCTCTGTTTGTTGAAGTAAGATTTGACTAGTCTTATTTCAGTCTCATTTCAACTAGGAATTAAAAAAAGTGTTCCTTAGTTGTACTCTATCTTAGATTTGTCCCATTTTGTTTTAATAATTGGGATAAACTGAACAAGATGGCAAAAAACCGACCCTAAAATTTTAGGAATAGGACTTAAAAGAGTATTTTGTATACAAGTATAACTAGCTTGCTTATCATGCAATTTTTTCTTTTCATGGAATTTTTATCATCTCTCTTTCTGTAATTAATTTTTGTTTTGGTTTTCAATAAAATGATTTGTTGCTAACAAGTGTTTGGAATATTGTATTTGGAATTACTTTTACGACCTAGCCTTGTGAAGGCAATGCATCCGTCAGTGTTGTTAGTGAAGCTTCTCCCCCATAGACTAAGGACATGGTTGGCTACCATTTATAATTTGTTTATAAATGTTGAAAATAATTTTTACCCACATATTTCATGGACCTACAAGTAGAGCTGTAAATGGATCAAATATAGACTAGATCTGCCCATATCCGATCCAATAAAAATAATTATCCAATCTAATCCGATAATCCGATATTTGATTGTTAAATCCATATCCGATTTACTATGTTATCGGATATCCGATCCGATAATTCGATCTGAAATTAAAGAAATTAGGAAAATGAAACAATGTTGAAGTTAACTTTTGTTGGTATTATTATTATTTTCTTTTTTCCAACTTTTTCAATTCTTAAATAGGTTTAATAATAATTATATTTTCAACTTTTAGCCAATTGGATTGAAAGGCATAAAAAGTTGCTTACACATTTATTGACTCATTTATTTATAGAGGACATCTCCAAACATTTTGTTATAAGCTTTCGATGTGGGATAAGAATCTATTTGGGTTGGTTGTAGCATATTATTCTTTTGGTTTGGCTGTAGTGCATTACATTTGTTTTAACTGTAGTGCATTGTACTAGTATATAAATAATTATCTATAATTTATTAAATTAATCGTATTTCCTATCTTTTACTAATTATAAAATTAATAAAAAATTAAAACTTTCCAAATGTTTCAATTAGCACTATTATACTATATCTTGTTTATCGAATGTATTTATTTTATTAAGCTCTTAAAATTGCATTTGGTATTATAATTTGTATGTATTATTAAATAATTTTTAAATTGATTAAGCACATGTTTGACGCATATTCTTTCAAAATTCATTTTCAACCAC